CCCCTCACCCCCATTTTCAATATCAATTTGGGAATTAAGATGGTAATGTTATACAGACTAAAGTGGACCTTCAATCCTTAGAGCTAGTTCACTCAGCTATGTTAACATGGTTACTCTATACCTAGACAAAAAAAGGTAATTAATTAATTTGTAAAAAAATAATAGAAAATATAAATAAAAATAAATTAGTTTCAAGGGAGAAACGACAAGAAAAGGAAAAAAAGGAAAGTGGGGTTGAGAGAGAGAGAGAGAGAGGGTCCACCCCCTCCCACCTGGTACAGGCGGGTGGGTAAGGCCACATGTTTGGAGTAAATGCTAGAGGAGGATGAAACACAAAGGATGCAATTATGGAGAGTGGGCAGGCAAGGCCCAGTACAATAGTCCTAATTGTCTCCTCCAGTCACAATCACTGTCGCATTGATGTCTTCATGCCTCATCATATCACATAGATTGATGCCCACCATCCCCACTACATGCAAACCTTGGGATGATGTCTCGTGTCTGTGTTATTTAGTTTTAGCTAGGGTGGTTGCTGCATTGAAATCAATAAGGTAAGCATCCATCCATTTAGGAATAGGATGATCTGCGCCTTGCCCCTGTGCTTTTAAATTCTTACCACAGCATGATTCTGGTGTTTGATTTGATCCATGATACAAAACTGTACCTTCATGTTAGGGCCCATTTGCTTAATTTCAAGGACTTTCTTTTGGTAGAGGACATGGACCCTCTTAGCTTATTGTTGGTAACACATTGCCGGTTTCACTGAACTTTGGCTCTCTCGATCTCCACTACTATTAATTTTCTTGGTGCATGCAAATACTATATATGCCGAGCTGTAACTCTGTAACTTATATTTTATTGAAAATTGTTGAATCCATTGCTCACTATTGTTGAATCATCCAGTTAACTGGTTCAAAACTGTGATCTTATATAAACCTGCCGTTTTCTAATTTGGCTTTACTTTCTCTATTTATTGTAATGCTAATTTCTATTTGTATTTTTATTAATTTTCAATTTTAAATGCATTCCAATTTCCAATATGAGTTACGGTCATTGGTTCAGTTCAAGTGTTCAACTTCAACCCAGCTGCGTTGAACTATCAACCCCTTTTAGGGTTCCATGAAACTCCGGGGTTCTACGAGCAGTCTAGAATTAAAACAACATACAGAATAACACCAGGAGACAGATGATGATATATACACACATCGCCTTCTTAATTCTGATTATTTCACAGAGAGCAACGCTAAGGGCTTAATTTAATCCACATGCTACATGACGGGGCTGCCAAACCACGACGATAAACTGTACAAATATAAATTTGTGGGTCGTTCATTGTCCCATGAGGTCTCGTAAACTAGCCAAGGAGGACATTGATGACATCATTCCAACAAATGTCCAACTACAGCAGAGCAGATTATCCACCCAAATATATATCTCATGACAGAGATCTAGAGAGAGAGAGAGAGAGAGATTTTACAGTTCTAATCCGAATGATTTCTCAAATCCATACCAGAAAATTAACAGAGTCTGAACAAGTGCCAGAGTGATGTGGCAGAGAGACATACATTATTATTTGGCCTCCATTCTGTAAGGTTCCCAATGGGGAGTTTTCTTACTGAAGAACCTGCCCACCACCCTTGAATCTAATAGTTCAATTGTTTTTTCCGATTTGATGCACCTGGGCGTCTTGTATTGATTTACTGAGGACCCCTGAGAAACACAGAAATCCATGAGTGCGTCAAATGTCCCATGTTGCACCACCCTTATCTCCAATGGCCCAATTGACCTGTCTTTGCTTCTGCATCTCCTATACACGGAATCAAGTGACTGTTCCACTGTAGAGCAGCATTCCTCCATTATGCTCGGATTCAGCTCAGCTGCCTGCTGCTGCTGCTGCTGGTTGCCGTTCCCCTTCATCTTTAGCTCCCAAAACAGCACATAGTGGCCGGGGATGGAACATGTGTCGGCGTAGCTTGTGTACTCAGTGAGAAGGAAGCCCAATGGTTCAAGAAGGAGCTTTGCTTGTGTTACGGCCTTCAGGAGGTCCTCTTCATTCGTTTTGTCTGTGTCAATGCTCAAAACAACGTTGAGACGATGTACAAACCGGAACTGTGGGGCATTGTTGTGGAACCCTGTTACCTTTAGAATATCTCCCACTCTGTATCTGTAAAGGCCTGAACAGCAGAGGAACAGAATACACACATAAAACAAGGACTAATTAACTATGGTATATATGGGTCAGATTGTTTTGATTTAACAGCACTGTAAATGGTATTATTGCGTCCATTTCAAGGATATGAATTTGCATCGAAACGTGATTGGAGCTTGATACAAGAACAAAAAGGAAAAAAAAAAACATGGGACATGCATGTGGGTCAGACATGAAGAAGATAATCTCACCAGTAAAAGTGGTGACCACAAGTTCATAATAGTGACCGGGCTTCACTTGTACAAGATCAACGGCCTCCTCCTCCTCCTCTTCTTCTTCTTCTTCTTCTTCTTCTTCTTCCTCCCTTCTTAAGCCATTCCGATCTGAACCCCCGCCATTGCATTGGATTCCTTGTGTCACTGCAGCTTGATCGTGGTTTCTCTCTACAGGAAGAAACTCAAAGTAGGCCATGTTAGGGAGGAGGGTGTAGGAGACATCCGATGGTTCACTCAGAGGCTTGAGATTGATCCCAAAGTAGCACTCTGATGAAGCGTACATAGTTGAAACAAGAGGCAGGCCCCCACTGTAGAAATCAAGCGTTGGGATATACTGCGCCATGGACCCTGTAACTATAACGTCCACGTACTTTGTTCTAGGCCACAACCTCTTAATTATCCCTTCCCATGATTTCCCATTCCCAATACATTCGGATTCAATCAGATGAGCCAGTTCTGAATTGGGTTGCCTTAGAATGTCAGAAACAGCATTTCTGCAACCTGGGTCTGTAATCCAATCACTCACATGACCCGTCCTGATGTTTGAACATAGCTCCTGCCAATAATCCTCCAAGAATTTGATAGCTCGTAACAATGCTGATGCAAAAACTGCGCCCACCCGAAGGACCTCATCTCTCTGAATCAGACCGCATAATAATTGGCAGTACATGCTTTGTCTGCAATCCGAACACAGGATGGTTTCATCCGGGCTGGTGTAGACATTGAACCTGTTGAAAGGGCGGTTTCTGAAGTTACAGCTTTTGTAGTAGCTGGTTAGTACTGGCCTTGCCATCAAACCAGAGGGAGTTCTGATTTCTGGTTTGATAAACAGGAGGTACATCCCTTTTCCTTGGTCCAGGCCATCTACATACCTGAAATTGAAACTAATGCATGAGCATCATATTCATTACCAGAATTAAACAAGAAAGATGATACAGAGAAGAGCTTCGGTAAAACCCGGCTTTTACTGTAATCCTGTAATATACATACATATTCATGATTCAGATTAAAGCAATGGAAAAAGAAATTATATAAGAGAGGAAGCTCACTGGTTCATGACAGGCACCAGCAGGTTATATAAGAAGGTCTTCCTATCCAAGTCTTGGGCAGTGGACGGCATAATCTTTGGTTGTCCTCCAGAAGTTCCAGAGCTGCACGTACAAGAGACAAGTTTTAGATGAAATTCTGGAAAATTAAGAACTGGGTCTTAAAATTTATCAGAAATATGCCATGCCTTGTGAGGAGTTCTGTTATTTGTTGTGATGAAATGATCCTTGATGCCTCCCCGTTAGCTATTCGCTCAATATAGGGCTTGATGTCCTCGTAAGTTACAATGGGGACTTTGTTCTTGAATTGCTCCTTATCAAAGCAGCCTCCGAGAAAGCTCTTTAGATACTCTGTATCTGCATTTTGAGTTAGTATCTCCTCCAGTATCTGTTGTTGCACTTCATTCGCATTTGTTGTTAGGTCCTCCACAAGCTTCAAGCTGCCTTCTCCATCATTAGGATCACAGTGGAGTAACATCCTCAATAATCAAAAAAACCAGAACTCAAATTCAAAGCTCGACCCAGTAAATAATATCATCAATTGTCCCTTAACCCACAAAGTGAAAAACAAAACACTGTCAACGACCATAAATCCTAGGAGTGGCGGCCTTGGCCTCCTAAACTAAATAGAAAGCAGCCTTATCAGCTAAAAGCAAAACAAAAAAAAAGGTGCTTCAAGGACAGAGAAAGAGAGAGAGAGAGAGAATGACATAAGCCACCACCCAAGTACACTGCCCCTCTTATTAGGCTTACCCTCATATTTAAATCTCTCTCTTTCTCTCTCTCCCAATCAAGTTTCTGTTTCTCGGTAGCTGCTGACAGGAGTGGTGGAGGGATTTTGGAAATTGCTGCTTTTTAGAAAATAATAATATTGATTAAAAAACACAAGGAAATGTAGGGGAAGTAGAGTCTATAATATTAATGGTCCTACACACGTGGACCTGTCTGTTAGGGCTCTGATCAGATGCTTCCATCGTGGGTCAAATTCTATATATATATATAGCAATTTTACTTTCCAAGCTAGCTAGGAATACTTCAATTATAATGACATAAATAAACAGTTAAAAACTGATTGAGTAGTATCTTAGAATAAAGACTATGAAAAGTAGTTAAAAAGTAAGATGGATCAGCTTAAGCGGCAACTTATATTTTCAGCAATAAATGCTAGTGTCATACTGATACATCTAACACTAGGCAAATGGGATGGGGAAGATAAACAAATTTATACAATTAATTAATGATGAAATTCAAGTACCAATGACTGTAGGACACTGCAATTAATCAAATTAATTGGAAATCATGGAGAAACTTCCCTGCAGCTTGTACAGTATGAAGGAAGATCATGACAGGAATCTTCAAGGAAAACCTCTATTAGTGTCTAATCTGCTAGATAGTCAACGGTCTGCTTGCTTAAACAGAGATTTTTGGTGGCATTATACATGGGGGGAGAGAGAGAATGAGTTCTATCCAATCCTCTAAGAATATGAGAGTTTTCAAGCTACCCACTTGTAGTTAAACACTTAAACTTTGAAATAATAAGACTTCCTTATCTAGCCCTGTACACAATAGATTGTCAAACTTTGTAATATCATACCTCACCAATGTCCTACAATGCGGCTTAACCTATAGCTCTCTTCTTCTTCTTCTTCTTCTTCTACAGTCTGCAGGGTCACCCATCTTGGGCTGACAATCGAGATCAATATCCCTGGTTATCCGCCAGACAAAGAAAATAATGGTTGAAACTTAAAACTTCACTAATGGTTCATATAATCGTGCATGCGTTGTAATGTTCCAGCCCTTACTTGTTTTGATATTCAAAACTTGTACTGTTTAATTATTAATTAAGCTCTCCACACCATATATTGATGTTAATTAATTAAACAGTCTGTGTTGATTTGTAACATGGTTTATTAGCAGCAGACTGACATGTCGCCCAACAATCAACCTCATTAAAGTTGAACAGGTTCTACTGTTAGAATTGATTTCAATATATAATCTATGCAAATGTAATTGCCTGCTTTGAGATGAAGAAAAAAACAAGGTTGGTCGTGTATCATGTTTTGTGTCAAGGTCAAGGACCCCACCATATATAGAACCATCCAAATTATGAATGGGACAAGGTGATAGTCTGATTATATATAACTGGATTCAAAACCGGAAGAGATCGATCCTGCAAATAAACACCCAGTTAGCTTTGATATACAGACCGAAAGTCAAGGAAGCTTTTGCTTGGGTTTGATCCATGGAGCTAGAAACAAAGGGATTTCTAATTAAATGGAATTTCAGACCCTAGTGACTGGTGAGAGTACTGGTGCTCTGGCCTGAGGTAAATTCTCAACATTAATTTTCTGTGGAGTGTGGACATATATACAACCAGCCCTCCCTCCCATACCCTTCAACTCATGAAATTTCGATATCTAAATTCTAAAACACGCATCATCTCTTAATTAAGATCGATCCTTCCCATCTTTCAGAAAAAACAAAATCACAATAATGAAAATAACGTGCAAAGATAAAAACAATTAAACTTCTTTCTCTTTAGTACTGTTGTGTTTATAGTTTCTGGGTTGTGTTGTTAGTCTGTGTGTCGAGTGTCTTTGTTTGGCATTTCTGTTGTTTCTTTTGTTAGCTTTCGAATAACAAAGGAAGTCTAGAAGATGACAGTTGTTGTAGGGATGTTCTGTCCCACCGGCCGGGCAACTGGCCCCTGGTGGTGCCCAATACAAGCCACTGCCAGGTAACTTGCAGAGAGCCAGAGGGAATTAAAACTCATAGTCAAAGGTGGTATTAAGTTGGGGTGTTATGATGAATTAATTTCTTGATTATAATATTCATTACTACAACAAGGATAGCGGGATATGCTGGATTTGTTGTTGCAGGTTTTGGGGTTTATTTATTAAAATACAAAACATGAAAGGTGTCTAATGATGATGCCATAAATGACCATATATATGGACGAATTCTTTTTAACGCCATTATTTAATTAGCTTTTTGATGGCCTTATTAATTATTTCACTACTTTATTTTTTTATTTTTCGAAGTTAATCAAAGAAGTCAACAAAATAATAGGGAAAAGATAATTAAGGAATCTGGATTTCCACGCCATGAATTAAACATGCATTTTTTTCTTCATTTTGATAATTAATCAGGCATATATAACATACGAGAAGAGATAATAAAAAAGAAAGCTGTGTTTGGTTTGAAGGTAAAGGTAGGGAAAGGAAGGCTGTGTTTGTAAAAGTTTTCCTACATTTTCTTTTCTTTCCTTATTTTTTCCTTCAAATCAAACATAGCTTTAATTAATTTCATCCAATGCATCTCCCTCCCATGCGTAATAGGTAGGATATACATGTGTTGATTACTTGTTTATATAAATATATATATATATATGAGCATGCGTGCAAGTGGTAAAATATGATATGTGAATGTGGTAGTCGGGCTGTAAATTAATATAGACCGGCTATTGGTCCAATCTGATCTGATCTAATATGAATTCATTATAGATGGACCAGATATAATCCAATCCAATAATGAATATTTGGACCTTTAAGTCTGGAATGGCCCAATTCAACACTTATCGGTCCATCTAACCTATTCAAATTGGTTTTTGATTCGAATAAATCCAATCCAAACCCGGTCCATTTACACCTCTATGCGGTAGCTAAACTACGAATGTAGAAAGGCTTTAGCTAGTCAGATTGGTGTGACACCTGCATTAGTGCACTCATTGCTTATCATGTGCATAGAGAGTCTTCCCGCCAGATTGTGGTGTTTGTATTAAGTGTAATGTAGAACCAATTATACAACCAATGCAAACCAATTATATTGGTTGTTATTCTAACTAATTAACTACTCCCAAAGCCCTCTTTGAACTTATACTAAAAGTCATTTTATATATATTTGGCATCGATGCTATAGAAAATAGTGTTGTATATATGTGGGTTAGAAATATTGTTTTCTAAGAAAATGATATCTTTTTTTGTTTAGAAACGTTGTTGTTAGCAGTAGAATATTTCCTGGGGCAACAGCAACATCTTTTGTTTGGTACCAGTGCTCCATATCTGTTTCAGCACCGGTACCCATTATAGAAAGTCCACGTCACTGCCACATCATGTCCTCATTGGTAGCAACAATCTCCAAATTGAGGAAACGTCGAATCCAATATTTCCCTAGACCACGCCTTCTCGATTTCCAAGGCGTGGTTTAGAGCACCGTTTTTATGAAAAAACAATTCCAAACATACTTCCATTTTTTAGAGCACCAATTTTTTCAATGTAGCACTAATATGTCACCATTTTCTGAAACAACAACATTGATGCCAAACACCGCCTTTATTTCATTTGGCAACATTTTTCCCCTCCTTTAAAACAAAAACGAACTCCTTAAAACAACTCTAAAAGCAAATATCATAGACCTTAATTGCTCTTAATCAAATCTTCACTCCCAACCAAAACCCTAGGCAGAAGGAAATATCCTTTTTAATTGCCTCCGGTAAAAGCTAAAATGCCCTAGGTAGATTCACCCATTTAAAATGCTTGACCAAATCCACACCCCATTTAAAATATTAGCTGCAGCATCAAACTAATCAAAGGCATCTCTAGCTCGTGCAAATATATACAAAATAAAAAAGTTATTAAAAAAAAAACTACTTCAACTTGAAGATGTAAAAAGCTAGATCCCTTACATATCACACCTACTATTTGCCACTTCTCAACATATCAAAGTAACAAAGAGAAGAAAAGAACGAAAAGTAACAAGTGGAGTCCCTAGAAAGTCATCAAAATCTCTTCAGGAGACCGAATAAATATTAAACAGCCAAATTAAGAAAAGGTGCATGAGTGCATCAATAAAAAGCAGATTACGTTTAACCAAAATCACCACCACAAGCACACGGTTTCGCCTTTTCATGGTTAACACCTTTAGACAGAGGGTCTTATTAATTTACTTGGAAGATGGGAAGAATATTATTTGTTATTTCATATTTGTTAGGGATTCAATTGGTTCTATTCTAATTAAACAGCCAATCCCTGAGGCTCAGTTTGGAAAGAGTACAAATACAAATATTTATACAATATGAATACATACAAAATAATATACAATACAAGGTTTTGCACTCTACATGTTTATATTTGTTCTCCTTCCAAACTAAGCCTAATAAAATTAAACAACCAGTGGTAATTAACCATAAATTAATCTAACTAATGAGACATTATTAACTAATTTAATGAAAAGGGAAAAAAAAGAGAGAGAGAGATTGTTCGATCAAATTAATCCAAGTAATTACCCGACCAAATAAATGGAGCTTAGGCCGGAATGGATGGGTTGGTTAATTTTCCATGGATTGGATAGAAATAATTAAGGGAATCTACATCATATTATATGGAGGTAAGCAGCAGATGAATTGGGCTAGCTTGATCCATACACTACATTAATTAATTAATTAAGGACTGGGGGTTGACATCATTTAATTTGTTCCCAAGATGCCAGCTTAATGAGTTGAAATTAAAAAACCTGCAACTGCAAGTAGTGTTGATATCATATTACAGACCCTTCTTCTGTCTTCACCCACTTTATCCAATCCATTGACACACCCACACACACACCTCCTACCACCTTAAGTCAAGCAAATATCACTAGATCCGAGATAAAGGGCAGTATCAAATATTAAAAAGCAGGGAGAAATTAAGAGAGTAAAGCAAGTTGTGTGGTGGT